CCCCAAAACCCCAAAACCCCAAAACCCCAAAACCCCAAAAATAAATGTGTGGGATTTAAGTTTGAAAGCCTAAGCCAGATTGGGAATATCGGCTTCATAGTTTTTGAGAATATGCCTGTGCCCTCAACTTTGGATTTATTTTATGCCAATTATTGTGGATAACAGTTTCAGTTCATGCCTAATCATTCATAAACTATTTACCATTTTTTGTCCTCAATTATCACCTGAGGTTGAATGCCCTAATTGTTGCGACCCATCAGGAAATTATATAAAGAATATATCCAAATTTTAATTAAAATTAGTTACTAAATTAAGTGTTGTACTTATGTCAAACAGCCAAGATTTAGAGAATACTCCTCAAAATGAGAACAATGTGTATGTTCATGAAGGGTAAGTTTTATCATATTCTATCGTCTATAATCCGGTCCATCTCTTCCTTATCTCTAATTCTGATATTTAATTAGAGGTGAAATTAAGAGGAAAGAGAGCTTATTTGACAAGCGATCTCGCTCACTAAAGCTTTCATGGCATAACTTAAGCTATACAGTTAAGGCTAAATACACTAAAGAAGAAAGAGCAAGGCTCGGAGTACAAGAGAAGTATCCATTCTCGCCTAATGTATAGATATTACGATAAAGAAATAGTCAAGAATGCTTCAGGCTATTGTGAACAGGGTGATGCTCTGTTTATCATGGGATCTTCTGGAGCAGGAAAAACAACTCTTTTGAATATCCTTTCGGACCAAATCTCTCTGAAAAATGCAGCTTTATCAGGGCAGGTTCTGATCAACGACTCAATTAGAGTCACAAGTGATAATTTCGGGTCATATGCTGCCTATATTACTCAGGAAGATTACCTTTATGAGTCCTTCACTTGTGAGAAATGTATTGAGTTTGCAGCCAGGCTGAGGCTTAACCTCACGAGAGAGGAGACTTCAGAAAGAGTTGATGAAATCATTGAGAAAATGGGGCTTCAGAAATGTAGGAAAACTATGGTCGGAAGTGAAGCAATCAAAGGTCTTAGCGGTGGAGAAAAAAGAAGAACTTCTATGGCAGTCGAGCTAGTGACCAACCCAGAGATTTTGTTCCTTGACGAGCCTACGTCTGGTCTTGATAGTTTCACTGCTCAGAAGATAGTCTCGCTTCTGATTGATTTTGCGAACCGAGGCAAAACTGTGATCGCAACAATTCATCAACCAAATTCAGAAGTGTTCCAAAAATTTCCGAAATTACTGTTGTTAATGGATGGTCACACAATTTATCAAGGGAACACTATGGAAAGTGTTGAACATTTCAAATCGATAGGACATCAAGTCCCCGAGTTCTCAAATCCTTCTGATTACTACTTGAAGGAGTTCTACATCAGTTTCGAAAGGACTGAAGAAGAGCAGAAGAAGATGAATGCTCTCGTTGATGGGTATAACAGAGATATTCTTCCTAAAATAGAATCAGCAATGGAAAGTCGAAATTATGACCAAGTTACTGAAAAAGAATTGCAGAAGGGAATGACGAAGGCTAGCTTTTTGCTTCAGTTCTGGATACTCTTGTGTAGGTCTGCTTACAATGTATTCTTCCATCCGATGATTATAAAGTTTAAGACAATAGGAATTTTGACTATTGCCCTCGTCTGTATGGCTGTTCTTTGGGATCCAGGAGAGGATCGGGAAGGAATCAGAGGAACAATTGGATCTTTCCTATTTATCACAGCTACCTTCACATTTGCCCCGATAGCTACTACCACTAGGTCTTTCTCTGCTGAGAAACCTGTTTTTATGAAAGAATATGGCAATAAGACTTATGGGTTGATCCCTTATGCAATCTCAAACTCTCTAGTTGAGATTCCATTTGAGTCAACATATGCCTTAATATTTGCTATTATTGTGTACTTTTCAATGGGTTTGGAAGCTGAAGTAGGCAAGTTTTTCATTTTCTTGTTTGCCATCACTCTGAACTCCTTCTGAGCTATGTCAATGGGGTTATTCCTATCTGCTGCTGTGCCTAACGAGGAGTCTGCTATTGCATTGACAAACTTGTTTGTTGCGCCAGCACTTCTGTTGTGTGGAGTTCCAGTCAATCTTGGAACCCTTGATCCATGGGTTGGATGGCTAACATACATTTCTCCTCTAAGGTACACAGTGGAGATCCTGATCAGAAATGAATATGAAGGAAGGTCATTCTCAGAAATTGAGAATCCAATTAGCTCTTTGGACTACAACCTCAATATCCCATTCAACTTTGCGATTCTTGGAGTGATGATTCTGACATTCAGAGGTTTGGCTGTTCTATTTTTAAGGATCACATCTAAAAGATAACCTGCTAAACTTTCAATAACTCATTTAAAAATAGGGGTTTTGGGGTTTTGGGGTTTTGGGGTTTTGGGGTTTTGGGGTTTTGGGGTTTTGGGG